ATGTAATTCATGATGGGGGGGGGGGGGGGTTCGATTCCATGCAGAATAAGGAGGTTTCCATGCAGGCTGTGTGAAAAACAGCAGGTTTACTATAAAATACTTGCAGAAAGTTGGGGCAAGAACCATCTGTTTGACTTGATATTCTTTACAAGTCTGCACCACAGAAAATCTCTCATGTGCTTAGGGGACCTATGCTATCTGTGTCATAACGCCTTAATTTCTAGATATCTTGCCCAAAGTGGAGACTGAATTTGAAAGCGAATTTCTTATTCAGTGCTTGGGAAGAGTAACACAACTCAAGGACAACCCTTAAGATCCTTTAGATCTAGACAAATTACAGAGGTGGGCAGATGAGAATAGGATGGAATTCAATGCAGACAAGTGCAAGATGCTGCATCTAGGGAGGAACCAGCAACACACCTATAGGCTGGGGAACACCCTTCTTGTCAACACGATGGCAGAAAGGGATCTTGGAGTAATTGTTGACTCCAGGAAGGACATGAGCTGCCAATGCAAGGAAGTGGTAAGTAAAGCCAACCACACCTTGTTGCGCAGCTACAGAGGCATCACAAGCAGGTCCAGGGAGGCGATCCTTCCCCTCTATGCGACACTGGTCAGACCACAGTTGGACTACTGCGTCCAGTTCTTGGCACCGCACTTCAAGAGGGATGTGGACAACATGGAGAGGGTCCAGAGGAGGGCCACTCGCATGGTCAGGAAGCAGCCAGGCAGGCCCTAGGAAGAGGCGCTGAAGGGCCTGAACCTATTCAGCCTCCACACAAGAAGGTGAGAGGGGATTTGGTGGCCATTTACAAACTCACCAGGGGGAACCAGTGGGAATTGGGGGAGGGCTCTGTTCCCCAGGGCACCACCCGGGGTTACTACGAATAACAGCCACAAATTGTTAGAGAGAAGGTTCAGGCTAGACATCAGGAGACATTACTTTACAGTTAGGGCTGCCAGCCTCTGGAATGGGCTCCCAACTGAGGTGGTACTCTCTCCTACCTTCGGGGTCTTCAAAAGGAGGCTAGACAAATATTTGGCTGGGGTGATAAGACCCAGGCACCCATTCCTGCCCGGGGAGGGGGGTCGGGCCTGATGATCTGTTCAGGTCCCTTCCAACCCTAAGTACTCTGACACTTAAAACCCATATGTTAATTAGTGCCCTGCCTAGAACTAGCTAATATGAAACATTAAACACAAGGATGTATTTGCAAACTTTCAGAGAATGAAAGTCCATGTGAAAAACTTTCACACAGACCACTTATCCAAGGTAGGTCTCTTGGAAGTGGTATGGACTGGTAGGGATGAATTCACCACAGGCTGAATTTGAGTGTTTGAATCGTGCCATGAGATATGGCACCTGGTACAAAGTTCACCACCTGAATGAAAAACATAGAAAGCGTCATTTTTTAAAAATCCTTTACAAGAAATGCATGAAGACAATTTCTTCATCACCAAGGAGACTGAAAAAGAAGTGTTCTCTGATGCGGCAGGGAGCAGCCCAGATCGCCTGATGAAGGACTACAAAGCTCTGAGGGACAAGTTGAAGGAGATGGGGACAGGTGGTCTTCTCATCTGTTCTCCCAGTGAGCAGACGTAGACGACGCCATGAGACTTGCATCAGGGAGGTCTACTTGCAGCTTCGGAAATGGTGTCTCAAGGCGGGCTTCGGCTTTTTGGATCATGACCCATACTTCAGAACAAGAGACATGTTTGGGTGGGATGGGCTTCACCTCTTCCCCAAAGGTAAATGTGTGTTATCTTTCAGGTTGGCTGATCTCCTCCGGCAGGCTTTAAAGTAGGTTCGTCAGGGGAGGGGGAGGATGAGTACGGAGGGAGCCACAGAACACCGAACCAAGAGACACCCACAAGATCAGCCCAGGTATGTAGCAAAGATCCTATCAGACAGCAGTTTAAGGGGGGACCAGGGACAGCCACCAGGGGAATCAGGTGTATATACACAAATGCCAGAAGCATGGGAAACAAGCAGGAGGATCTAGAGCTCTTGCTAGCAAGCAACAACTTTGACCTAGTGGGACTAACTGAAACCTGGTTGGACTCTTCTCACGACTGGGTGGTAGGAATAGAGGGTTATAGGTTGTATAGGAGAGACACAGTAGGGAAAAATGGTGGGGGAGTTGCTCTCTCTGTCAAAAAAACAGTATATATCTCCCCTAATCAAATTAGGGTCAGAGGGTAGTCAAGCAGAGACTTTGTGGGTTAGGATCCAAGGAGCTCGGGATGAAAGGGATCTGGTACTGGGGGTCTACTACAGGCCGCTGCACCAGGACAATGAACTAGACCAGGAATTTTCCAAGCAGCTCAAAGAGGCTGTGAGGTCTAAAGATATGGTAGTCATGGGGGACCTTAACTACCCAGACATATGCTAGGAGGAACAGTCAGCTATATCTAACTGCTCTTGCAGGTTCTTAACCTGTATTCAGGACCTCCACCTAACACAGGAGGTAAGGTGCCCCACCAGGGGCAATGCCTTGCTCCACTTGGTGTTGGCCACAGGGGGATGACCTAGTGGGGGACCTGCGGATTCAACGCAACTTAGGGGACAGCCAACCAAATGATTAAATTCACTATCCAGCAAAGGGTGGGCATTATACCCAGCAAGGCACAGGTGCTGAACTTTAAAAAAGCTCACTTCAATAGACTCATGGGATTGGTTAGCAGGGTGCTAGGAGCTAAGAACTTGGATGCACTGGGGGTCCAGGATGGGTGGACATTCCTCAAGGAAACCATTCTTTGGGCTCAGAATGAGTCAATCCCATGGCAAAGGAAAGGGGGTAGGGGGGCCAGGAAGCCCCTGTGGCTAACCAGGGGCATCCAAGATACCTTAAGGGCAAAAAAAGAGGTGTACAGGAAATGGAAGCAGGGGGTAGCTAGCAAAGAGGAGTATACTTCTTTGGCCTGCACCTGCAAGGAGTCAGTCAGGAAGGCCAAGGCAACTCTAGAACTCAGGCTAGCGTCAGGGATTAAGAACAATAAAAAGTCCTTCTTTAGGTACGTTGGGAGCAGAAAGAGGGTGCGGGGTAGCACAGGACCCATAGAGGATGGGCAGGGGGCTTAGTGACAGATAGCAGGGAAAAGGCAGAGCTCTTCAATGAGTTTTTTGCCTCTCTCGTCTTAAATGGGAGTCTAGATGAACCCTCAACATACATCACAGACACCAACAAAGGGAACATCAGCTGACCAAATGGTCAGTGCCAACATGGTAAGACGACACTTGGAGGGACAGGATGTATTCAAATCACCAGGGCCGGAGGGACTCCACCCACAGGTAATTAAGGAATTAGCGGGGGTCACAGCTGATCCACTGGCAAGGATATATGAGCACTTACGGTGCCTGAGTCAGGTTCCAGAGGACTGGAAGAGGGCCAACATTGTCCCAATCTTTAAAAAGGGGAGGAAGGAGGACCCAGAGAACTACAGACCAGTCAGCTTTACCTCTATCCCTGGGAAAATCCTAGAAAAAATCATCAAGGAACACATCTGCGGGAGTCTGCTGGCTAATATGATGTGGAGGGGTAATCAACATGGGTTTTTAGCAAGCAGGTCCTGCCTGACTAACCTAGTTTCTGCAGGAGTCGAGGTGGATGTTATCTATCTGGACTTCAAGAAGACCTGACAAGGTATCCCATACCACTTATAAATAAACTGAGGGGATTTGCCTTGGATGATTACACGGTAGACTGGGTAGCAAATTGGCTCAAGGGTCACACTAAGAGGGTGGTAGTGGATGGTCACCTGGAAAGATATGGGCAGTGGAATCCCTCGGGGCTCAGCTCTGGGGCCGTTGTTGTTCAACATCTTCATCAGTGATCTGGATGAGGGGGTGGGAAGCACCCTGTCCAAATTCATGGATGACACAAAATTATGGGGTGCAGCTAACACCCTGAAGAGGAGGAACCAGATCCAGGCTGACCTAGACAGGCCGGGGAAGTAGGCAGAGCAACAGGACGCAGTTCACTAAGGACAAGTGCAAGGTGCTGCATCTAGGGAGAAAGAACTGCCATCATACCTACAGGCTGCAGGGCGACCTTCTCAGCTCCACTGAGGCAGAAAAAGATCTTAGAGTCACTGCTGATTCCAGGATGAACATGAGTCGCCAATGTGATGAAGCAGTTGGCAGAACCAATCACACCTTGTCATGCATCCGTAGGTGCTTCAAAAACAGGTCCAGGGAAGTGATTCTCCCCATCTATGCGGCACTGGTCAGCCCGCAGCTGAAGTACTGTGTCCAGTTCTGGACGCCACAGTTCAAGCGGGATGCGGACAACCTGGAGAGGGTCCAAAGAAGGGCCACTCACCTGATTCAAGGCCTGCAGGGAAGGCCCTACGAGGAAAGGCTAAGGGACCTTAAGCTCTTCAGCCTCTCCAAGAGAAGGCCGAGAGGGAACCTTGTGGTGGCGTACAAATTCATAAGGGGAGAGCAACATGAAATAGGCGATGATCTGGTCACCACAGCACCCCCTGGAACGACAAGGAACAATGGCCATAAGCTGAGAAAAGGTTTAGGCTGGACATTAGGAGAAAGTTCTTCATGGTCAGGGTTGCCAGAATCTGAAATGGGCTCCCAAGAGAAGTGGTGCTCGCCCCATCCTTGGGGATCTTCAAGAGAAGAGTGGACAGGCACCTGGCTGGGATCACACGACCTCAGGGTTGGTGACTCGTTTCTTGCCTGCCAGGGGCAGGGGTCGGACTAGATGGCCCACTGAAGTCCGTTCTGACTCTATGAATCTAAGATGTTTGAAAAGAGCAATTGGTTTGACACTTGCTCTGTTCTGTTAAGAAGCAACTGAAAGACTCAACCAATTTCAGAAAAGGCAAAATAAGGAGGCTCCATGCAGGCTGTGCAAAAAACAGCAGGCTTGCTACAGAAATATACTTACCAGCAAGCAGAGAAAATGGTGGGAAGTCCTGTAGTTTTGGGACACAGGGGAAAGGGAGAAGGGGGTGCAGGGTGGGGCTGCTTGTAGCAGAAGGCAGGGAGGCTTCACCAGGGTCCACAGAACCCCAGCCTGCCCCTCCCCCCAGCTTTCACTTCCTGCCCTCATATCAAGCATAGGGTGATGTAGCTCAGTGAAGCCTACAGTGTTGGGGGGAGCACAGCCAAGGAGGTGTGGCCATGGGGAAGGGCACGTACCTGGAGTAGGTGTGGGGAGGGGAAGGTGGAGCCACCCGATTGTGATGCCAAGGGAATTTACAGCCAGGGAATTGTGTTTGCGAGGGAGAGGGAGCTATGGCCCCTGCTGGTACAGCCCCTGTGGCATGTAGCCCTTGGCTACTAGGAAGCTGGTTAGCCCCATTTTAGAACATGGGTAGGCCCAACTGTTACTGCAGGGCTCATGACAAAATGTTTATACAGGCTTTTGTACAGAACTCAGTTATACTCTGTGCAAAAACTAAAACCCCCACACAAACAAACCCTAGCCACTGCCAAAGAGTTGAGGAACAAGACAAAAAGAATAAAAAAGGCTATGAGATCTTTACGACTGTAGAACCAAAAGATGTTCTACAATCCCTCAAGAACCTTTTTATGAATCAGCTTCTCATACAAAATTCCTTCCAGCAGCCACTGCTATTCAGATGTTTCTCATTTTGCAAAACCATAGCATATGCTTCTCCAGAGCAGAAACTTACAAAAACATTTTTAAAGGAGGGCATCAATCCTTGTTGTGAATTTTATCCATATCTGATTCAGTTTGGCATTAATTTCTGACTGTGTTAAAGTGTTTATTCCCTTTAACCTCATCAACAGTAATCCTTCCCCTTTCACCTTCGAAGTCTTACCTTCAGTCCTTGCTTTCTTTAATCCAGCAGATTCCACATCTTCAAAGGATCTCTTTCGACTTGTCCCACCATTGAGAGGATTGGAACCTGCATCCTGATGAACCCCATTTAAAGTGCCATTACTATAGAAATGATTCAGGTGACAGTTCTGGAGGTTCAAGAGAAACTGGGCACATTCTTGGAAGCCCTGGGTATGAGCAAGGTCTGCTGCCGTCAGGCCACTGGCATTTCTCAAGCTGCACAATACAAATAAACTGAATTACACTCATTCATCAACCTAGCTTGACTGCTGCTGCTGCTCTTACTGACTAACTATCTGTAGGTGACGAGAGAAAACATAAAACTTAGCAAATTTCCATTAAGGAATTAGCTATCAATCTTAAGATTCATAACTAACTTAACTCAACTTTTTGCACATATCTGGCTTCTAAGCAAAATTTGGGAGACAATATACTTAAATAAAATCAACATAACTATGTGCCTTTAAAAAAAAAAGCATCTTCCTATTTAAACTTCTTACAATGCTTAATTCCTAAAGTTAGTCTGAAGCATCTGACATTTACATGAACTTCAGACCCTAGTCTTGAATACTGAATTGTACTATTTTCTGTAGTTTATTCTGATAATCTATTGCTTTATCTTGAGTAAAAAAAATTAAATACTCAAAACAAACTTAGCATGACTTGGAAATTGTCCATGGCATTCTGATGTCTAAGACAATGAGAATAACATCACTAATCTTCCTAACAATAAAATATATACACACACACATATATATATATATGCTATGCTTAGTTATGCTTTGCGTGTCTTTTTTTCTGCTTTGTTTCTTATTACAAAGTATGTGACGTTTATAAATGGCAGATTTTTCTCTAATTTGATCCAGAATTTTTCCAGCTAGGTAACTGAAATGGGATTAATTTTCTGATGCAAGATGATGAAATCAAGACATAAGATACTAACAACTGTAGAAATAGGTGTAATTTGAAAGAGTTTTCCTTTGGTCCTTCTCTCTTGAAAACCATTTATACAATTGGCTTCTATGATTAGAAACATATACAAAAAATGTAAGAAACAGCTACAGTGTAGACTCAGTAGAGTAGGAACTAAGAAATTAGAGGGCAGAATAGGGGATGTTGCAAAATCTTTCCTTTCTTGAAATACTAGGAAGGAGGTCTCATGAAAATGGGTTTTTTACATCTATGTTCTATGACTTAGTATCTTGGGCAAGAAAACATATTACTTTATACCTTCCACAAAAAAGATAGAATGACAACAGAATAAGAATTCTGGAGGTTAAGTGAGGCTGATCTGTATGTTCCTTTGTTATAGTTCAGGGAAGTTCCAACAAACTGCTCTTAAGCAAATATACAAGAAAACAAAGGAACATGATCAAGTTCTATACAGGATCAAAATCTCAGCAAGCCAAAAATACAGACTGAATAATGTAATTTTCTATTCAATACAAACTTTTCTACCACTATTAATGGCACAGAAACATTAAGCAAGAGAAGTATACAAGAGCACTTGAGAGCTGGCATGAAGCCCTAACACTTGACATGGTATGGAATAAGGAATGACAAAGGGCAAAGAATAGAGCTGCTTCCTAGAATATTACGACTTGCCTGGTTATACAGATCAGGAAGAGATGAGTTACTTCAAAAGCAATCCAAGCACAGTTGAGACCAATTCCTAAGCAGACAGATACAGTTAGATTAAGCAAAGTAAGGATGGGTAGAGCAGGCGGAACACAGGTTTGTTTCTTTTAGCTTCTGCAACTAGAAATGCCATTAACTAAGGACGATCAAGGCAGCTTCCTTTCTTACAAAGTCATCCATTACACACCCTATTTGGTACTGTTAATTTATTCATGCAGCACCCAGATATATATAGCATGCACTACAAAATTTTTTTAATGCAGTATTTCCAAGTCTTTGAATTATACCCTTTCTTAAATATCAAATTCTATATCTACTTAGTTCAACGTCTGAAAGAATAAAAGAGTTTTCTATCCTCACTCAGTTGGGGGTGGGTAAAAGAGTAGTATACAAGCAGGAACAGACTGCTTAATGTCTCTGAATCTCTGCTATGGCTTTTCAAAGTCGCTCGCTGTTCTGGTATCAAGAAAATCTTCTAAACAAGATGTGTATATGAATTTACAAATGACTTTGAACAATACCTCTGAGTTACAGAATCACTTAATTTTAATGAGTGATAACTCAGATACTATTAATTGTCAGTTATTATTGAAGTATTTGCCTGCTTAATACTGTGAAAAAGTCAGAGCAAGATTATGATGATCTACACCCCCATTTTCCAAAGTGGCACTGAAACGAGAAAAACTAGCAAGTGGTACGTAAGAGACTGTATACATTAAGATATGTAGTCCTTTAACACCATGTGACCAAGTTGCCGGGAATGAAACAAATCAATTAGCTTGATTTTCCTAAAGTTGGCAATACTCTTCCACACATCCCAAATTTTTAAGATTAATAAAACAAAAGGAGAGAAGAAACATAATGAGTTAGAATTTCTGGAAGGAACAGCTTCTCTTATTCACAGTTCTTCATGTACACAATGAAATTGCTATGAGACTATTATAATAATAGTGCTGTAGCAATCTGTATGGTTACCAAAGAGCTATATACTTATGTAAGATGATGGTCTATATATCCCAGAGAGCTAGCAAATTCACCTTGCATAAAGAATGAACTATTCAAATTGGATCTTAACTGGACAAAGCCAATATATATTTTATACTTTAGAAGACTTAGGAACTTGAAAAAAAGAAAATGAGGACCAAACTGGACTTGACAGAAAAATTGTAAAAATTCAGAAGATGTCCTCAAAAAACGGTATATTCTAGGAGTTGGCAGCATACTGCTGTGGAGCCAGGGAACTTTGCTGCACTGCACCAGGTTGATCTGGCCTACAGCTCCAAAATCTTGCCTATTGCTAGTATAGTCTACTAGTTTGGCTCCCTTGTTTTGGGTCATCCTCTAAACGAAGCTTGTTCACAAGCATATAAAATGACAATGAGAGGCTAGAGTGGTGTGAAATTTTGATGGATGTTAACATAGGGAAAGACTGCAAAGCACTCAATTAGCAATATTCATAGAACTCAAAGGAAAAAACCACTAGAATCAAGCAGTGTTACTTGATTTGAATAGAGTTCATCCCTTTAAGATACCCATATACTTGCTGAATTTGTGTTTCCAAGAGGTGCCATAAAAAGGACTGGTAAGATTTGCTGCCACTTCTGGACAGAATATAGGAGCATAATGAATAACAATAATCTCCTTTTAAAACATCCAAGTGAGAGCATATGCATGCATCAAAAAGCTAAGGCCTCCAAAACCACTGCTCTGGATTGGGGCTGTTACAGACTTGGACTGCAATTCCCTAGCAGCAATTATATAAAAGACAGCTCTCTGGCTCCACAGCTATATGTTGACAACTCCTTTCTTCCTTTTGTCAGGATCAAGTCTGGGATCCTGGCAAAAGGAAGAAAGGAGTGCAGCAGAGTATGGATCCTGGACTTCAGAAAAGCAGACTGACTCCTCAGGAAACCGATGGTCATGATCCCCTGGAAGGTCAGTCAGAAGGGGAAACGAGCTCAGGAGAACTGGTTATATTTTAAAGAAATCTTACTGAGGGCGCAGGAACGAATGATCCCAATGTGCAGGAAGTACAGGCTATATGGCAGGCCACCAGCTTGCCTTGGCTTGGCAGAAAGAACTCTTCAGTGAGCTTACACACAAAAAGGAAGCTTACAAGAAGTGGAAACTTGGCCAAACAACTTGGAAGGAGTATAAGAATATTGCTCAGCCACGCTGGGATGAAATTAGGAAGACCAAAGCACAACTGGAGTTGCAGCTACCAAGGCATGTGAAAAGTAACAAGGGTTTCTACAAGTATGTTAGCAACAAGAGGAAGGTCAGGGAAAGTGTAGGTTCCTTACAGAATGAGGGAAACAACCCACTAACAGATGAGGAAAAGACTGAAGTACTCAAGACCTTTTTCACCTGAGTCTTCTAAAACAATGTCAGCTCCCAGACTACTGCACTGGGCAGGACAGTTTGGAGAGAAGGTGAGCAGCCCTCAGGGAAAGAAGGGACTATTTAGAAAAGCTGGAGGTGTAAAAGTCCATGGGATCAGATGCAATGCACCCAAGGGTGCTGAGTGAGTTGGCTGATGTGACTGCAGAGCCACTGGCCATTATCTCCAAAAACACGTGGTGATCAGGAGAGGTCCCAGACAACTGGAAAGGGAAAATATAGCCCACCTTTTAAGAAATGGAAGGAGGATCCAGGAAACTATAGAGCAGTCAGCTTCACCTCAGTCCCTGGAAAAATGATGGAGCAGGTCCTTAAGAAATCCATTTCTAAGCATTTGGAGATGAAAGAAAGTGATCAGGAACAGTCAGCATGGATTCACCCAACACAAGTCATGCCTGACCAGCCCAATTGCCTTCTATGATGAGATGCCTGGCTCTGTGGATGTGGGGAAAGCAGTGGATGTGGTATAATACCTCAACTTCAGCAAGTCTTTTGATACTGTCTTCCACAGTATTCTTGCAAGCAAGGTCAGGACATATGGGTTGGATGAATGGACTGTAAAGTGAACAGAAAGCTGACTGGATTGTTGGGCTCAACAGATAGTGATGAATAGCTTGAGGTCTAGTTGGTAGCTGGTATCAAGTGGAGTGCTCCAGGGGTCGGTCCTGGGGCTGGTTTTGTTCAATAACTTCATTAGTGATCTGGAAGACCGAATGGACTGCACTCTAAGCAAGTTCATGGATGACACCAAGCGGGGGGGGGGGGCGCAGTAAATATGCTGGAGGGTAGGGCTAGGATTCAGAGTAACCTAGACAAATTGGAGGACTGGGCCAAAAGAAATCTCATGAAGTTCAACAAGGACAAGTGCAATGTCCTGCACTTAGGATGGAACAATCCCATGCACTGCTACAGGCTTGGGACCAACTGGCTAAGCAGCAGCTCTGCAGAAAAGGACCTTAGAGATACAGTGGACAACAAGCTGGATATGAGGTAACAGTGTGTCATTGTTGCCAAGAAGGCTAATGGCATACTAGGACTGCATTAGTAGGCATGTTGCCAGCAGACTGAGGGAAGTAATTATTCTGCTCTATTCTGCACTGGTGAGCCCACATCTGGATTACTATGTCCAGTTTTGGGCCTGACACTATAGAAAGAATGTGGCAAATTCGAGTGAATCCAGCAGAGGACAATGAAAATGGCTTGGGCACAACTTCTGAGGAGAGGCTTAAGGAACTGGGCTTATTTAGTCTGTAGAACAGAAGACTAAGGGGGGATTTGATAGCAGCCTTCAGCTACCTGGAGGATCCCAAAGAGGATGGAGCTAGACTGTTTGCAGTGGTGGCAAATGACAGAACAACGAGCAAAGGGAAGTTTATACTGTATATTAGGAAAAACTCTCACTAGGAAGGTAGTGATGCACTGGAACAGGTTACCTAGAGAGGTGGTGGAATCTCCATCCTTGGATGTTTTAAGGCCTGACTCAACAATGGAATTATCTAGCGGCGGCTGGTCCTGCTTTGTGCAGGGTGGTTGGACCAGATGACCTCCTGAGGTCCCTTCCAACCCTCATTTTCTATGATTCTAATTACTTCACAAGGGCTGAAGGAAGTATGGCCCTCTGTGGCTGGTCAGTGGGGCTAGTCCTGCTCAGTCTTTGTGTTATGGTAAATCACTAACACTACAACTGTAGTCACATACTTTTTAAGAATAAAATGGGAATAGCTAACTCTGCTCTTTTCCTTTTTTCTCTACGTATGTCAATCCCTCAGTGGACAATGCAGGCAAAAGTCATTATGGCCTATGTTTAAATTTCTGAAAAACTAAGTTCTTAAGCCACCTTTAACATGAGGAAAAATGTGGAAAAATGTGGTAAAGTAGCAAGGTATCATTAAAGGAAGTAGATTATATAACTTGTGTCGTAAAACTCTATCAAGCAAGGGGAAGTCCAAAGAGTTGGTAGTATAATAGTGCCATATTCTCAGCCACAAAACTGAGAGATGCCTTCTCTTGGGAAGTTTTCTTCTTTTCTTTCTCAGAACTGGCTGTAAAAGAAGAAACTTGTCATAAATACTTATAGAGTTTAAGCAACATGGCATTCAAGGATCAAACCTAGAATGAAAGTAGTGTAATATGTGATCTATGGATAAACAGGAAGAAAGCATTTCAGACTTCATATAGCCTTAATTTAAATTCCTACCCCAACTCCCAAACTTTTAAAAAAATGTTCCAGGGCATTCCCAAACCAATTTTAGCACAATTTTGACCAAGCTTTGAAGTGCCTGAACCTTAAAATCTGAAGCTGCTTATTGTAAGCAAATAATCCTGTGTCTTCTCAGCTATGATACATCTTAAGACAAGTTTGCCTTCATGTAACTGGTAATTGCAATAGTGGATGGGACTCTCCTATACCTAGTTTTGCAAATCAGAATATGGAAACCAGTTCATTAAAAGGCTGTTTTTGAAAGGCTTTCAGATACGGAGTTTCTATCTACTAGGTTACCTACATAAGAAAAGATAAAGAAAGGTCCAAGGCAACACAGTAACTGACACCTTCTTAAAATAAATGATCTTAACAGAAGAAACCAATGTGGGGGAAAAAGAGAAAGCCACGTTAGACTGAGCTCGAGCCTTGGAAAAAAATGACCAAAAAGTCACAAGCCCTAGGTCTACCAACCAACCCTTAACTATAGAAAAATATGTTCTTGAAACCAGACATTAATTTTTAAGGATAGTATAATTCTTAGCAAAAATCCCCCACAATCTTTTCTTGCATTAAAGAAATAAAGGCCTATTTTGAGAGGTCAATCTACCTAGGGGTTAAAAAAAAATAAAAGACAAACTAAAAAGGCAACTCTACTGACAAGAAAATTAACTGTCTTGTAGTTCATCAACCCTACTGAGATGAGTGTACATAGGGTTCAACTGGCAAATATTAGAAAGAACTTTTAGTTACCTTTAGCTAGGACAGAGTATGACTTCTTGATCAGAAAGTCTATTCACTCTGCATTTAGAAAACAGCTTTCTCTGGTATTGTTATCAAATGTTTGAAGAAAGTAATAACACCACTAGATTTTTTCTTACACATACATTTCCTTCTACTCTGTTACGTGGAACTAAGAAACTACGATTTGAACCTTCTGCCTCAAGGCCTTAAATCCAAGAGTCAGGAATAATGTAAAAGGACAGGTTACCTTTTTAAAGGTGATGTTAAATATGTTTCAGAGGGAAGTGTGGGGTTGGGGATTAGTACAGTGGAAAGAAAAATATTCTCACAACAAAAATAAGTCAGATGGAGATACAAATATGGGAGAGGTAAAATTCATTGAGGTCTAAATAAGAAGAATAAAGCAGAGTGATCCTAAGGTTCTTCTTTGCTGTTTACTAAATTTCAAGTAAGAGCTTCTTGCAGTGATGTGTTGTTTCATACAGAAACTCATAAACAGACAGTTGATTAACAGTGTCATAAAACCCAAGAATGCATTTACTGGTAATTCCTTCCACTACAACAATGCTAATGACGATAGTCTGCAATTGACTTTTTTCATGCCCATATTTTTTTGTGTTTCACGTGGTTTTCATAAGCTGGTCTTCAGAACTATGTCTAGTTTCTAATGAGTATGTTTCATGTTTTTCACTCATCTCTTTTGTTTTAACTTCCATTTTTTCTTCTTTAGCTACCTACATCACCATAGCATTTATTCCAGAGCCATGATAAATTTGAGACTGTTGTCAGCCAAATAGTGAAAGGGCACTGATGCAACACAAAATCTAGAAGTGTATTAGTTCTACAATACGCACAAGTGTTGACGTAAGCCTGATCAATTTTAATTCAATTAATAAAAATAGGTTTTTGACCAAACAGGAAGTAGATGTGGAAAGCTGAAGTTCACTTTCTGGACACTTATACAGTAGAAGGGTGCTCTCTACCAAGTTTATCTTAACAAAGGTTTATTAAAAACATTCTGCAGGAAAAAAAAATCTTTACACTAGCGCTCAGAAAAATACCCCCATTAAGGATCTTCCAACAGGAGAAAGCAAGATACTGAAAACAGAGTATAAAGATATATTAGCTGAAAATACTTATATAAACTTTATCTAAAGTACTAAGAAGCTTGGTAAGCAAACTGTTTCTTGCATATGATCAAGAATTTGATATTCTGTGTATTTACTGCATCTCAGGAAAGAGTAAGTTTAGTATTTCAGTAGAAGTCTTAAAATGTGCTTTTTGAAATAGTAGTCTATCTTCTGCTTATAACGTCACATACTTTGGAAAACAAACAAAACCAGGATTTCCTACTAAGAATAATCAACATTTAAATTAAATCCCCTGAATCTATCATTTTTTTTTAAAAAAGAGATCACCACATCACCTACTGCTTTATGTATTCTTTGTTAATGCCATGCGACAATCTAAGAAAATAAACCACAGTTTTTGTATATCAGCATAATACTTCTGTTAAAAAGTACTGATCTCAACTTATCTATTGTTAGTTTACAAATAAGAATGTAGACATTGTAAATTAGGGTAAGCAAAGCATGCAAATCTATAGATTCTATATCTGAATTCCTAGATTAGCATTAAAACCAATCACCGCAACAAATACCTCAACAGTATGCCTTGTGTGCAGAAAGGAAGCGATACTGAACATTCAATGCCACAACTGTAAGGTTTTCGGAGAAGCACCTGTGGCAGTTTCAGCAGTTTCTATATGGAATGCTCCCCCTTTCTAGGATTACTTGAAAAAATCAAGTCAATTCGAATTACGTAGCTGTAAAACATTGACATGTGTATTTTTTTACAGTTTCAGAATCTTCTGTTTGATTTAAACGGGCAATGGTGCATAAACAGGAAACTTATATCAAAAGGGATCACATATTTGCAGGCAACAGTAAGATTAAAAGTTACATTAACATACATAAAGTGCTGTAGCACATTATTCATTATGTAAGCCATTATCATGTGACCACCTTGACAACAAAATACTGAGCCTTTAATGCCTTTTAAGCATTACTACTTTCATCCTGAAGCCAAATTAATTGTCAATTCTTTGATGAAATTTAAAAAGCATGAACTAAAACTACTGGTCAACTCATGGCTTCAGTTACTTTAAATTTAGTATGCTGTATTTCAAATAAATTAGTAACTATGCCTATACAAAAATTAGCATACAACAAGGATTAAAAAAAAGAATCAGAACACTAATATGCCCACAATGAGAAAAACCCTTTTCCTACAAACATCAGTATACTAAGTCTAAAATTTCTAAAGCAAAATGACCTTTAAAATACTACACTTAAAATTTTTTTAACCCTTTGGTGTCCAAGTACAAAAGTTGCAAAGTAAGTTTTTTAAACATACATTCTTTAGGTAATTGCAGAAAGTAAAATATTTTCAATTAAAACAAGATTTATGACTTTCTGGGAAAGCCGTGAAAATACATAATGGACTTCTAGGCAAACAAGAAATTGGTGCCAGGTTTTCATTTTACATCTACAGTCATGGTGTATGGAAGATACATTTTTATGAATATTTTTTTTAAACCTTGCCATATTCTCAGTCACTTCTCCGAGCCTTTGTAGAAAGATTTCTAAGAATTTCACAGGTACTGTAAGCAACTTCTTGATGCCACCACTTTCTGCTGAGCATATACTGGCACAAGAAAAATCTGGCAAGTTTACTAATCATTAACATTAAACATTAAAAATATTACAAATTTAGACAGAGTACCACTGGTGAAATATAAGGCTGCATGCAAGTTGGGTGTTGACAACTGCTATACTGAATATTTTTATATTGTGGTGTATTTGTTGCTTTTTTGGTCTAGCTTACAAGGAGTCTATGTTATAACGCAGGGTTTTCATCTTAGATGCTTAGTGTTGAGAAGGAACCAAAAGTATATCCATCAGATGTCAATTTCTCTGAAGGATCTAGTCAATTTCTCTCTCCAAGAAATTCTTAAGTTGCATCAATATGCTGAACAAGATACTACTATTGGGTTTTGACTAGTAAGTATAATTGGTAGATTTTCAAGTAGGTTTGGGAAATTTATTATGTAACAAAACATAGTTTACAAGACATGTTGTGAGAGATTATGATAATTTTCCAAGTGATAGCCTGCTTCTCTAAGCAATAGTGTATCAGGTAGAAGATGTTTTCCACCCATATAAAATTAAAGAAAAAGAATTCCCTCGAGACACCACAGATGGTATGTTCCCAGCAAACAAAAGCCTTCCTGCTGTACAAGTAATTCAGTTTGATGTAAAATATGGTCATAAACAAACAAACCAGACTCCAGACTAGGCCCCATAATGCAAACTTAACTGACAAACTAGCAGCACTGCTGCTATGTCAAATGACTGTGTCATATGGGAAGTGGATCGTCTATGTTGGTAAAGCCAGAAATGTTATGGCTGAAGCTGTTCTGTTTATAGAGGAAGATGAGGAATTAAAGAAACCACACTTCTGTAGTAGAAGTATTCATTAAAATATTGGAACAGAAGTTGCAACAGTGGTATTTAACCTAACAGGAAGAGAATTTCATGTCTCCTTACTCACTGAGGGGAGAGTAGCACCCAAAAGTTATCTAAAAATCAAAACAAAACACAAATTTGAGGAACTAGGATCCTCGCAGGGAAAAACAACTACTGAAGAACAGCAGAATATTACATGCCTTATTAAATATGTTGTTACAGAAGATGTATTACATATACAAGGAAGACTAATGGCAACTTGTGGACAGAAAATGTAACGAAGAAAAAGTATGATGCCAAATAGGCTAAATAACGCTGTGGAATTCCCCTGAACTACAAAATAGAAGAACCAGTTACACTGGATCCAAATATTCACTATGAAAAATGAAGGACATACACCCTAGAAGTGAAACTACAGAAGGTGTAAATAATCATCTCAAAGGTTGTTTTTTTTAATGTCAACTGAAAAATGGAAATATATTGAAGAAAAAGGAGAAATAGCCAGTTTAAAGACCAATGAATAGCTCTATTAGCTTCCAGTAATTGTGTAAAGACGACGACTTCAAATCATCTCAGAGAATTAAAATACTTTCTGCTACAAGATGGCTGTTTGGAGTCGATTATCTCCAATACCCTTCGCTGGAAGTTTTCAAGAAGAGGCTGGATAGACATCTCTCTGAGATGGTTTAAGATTAGTGAATCTCCATTCTGTGCAGAGGTTCTCAACTTTTTTAGACTCAAGACATCCCTTGTTAGACTCAAGACAACCCTCAGAAAATACGTCAGCTCTTCAGCTTTATATTTTTTTTCCTACGGAAAAACAGAGCAATTCTTCTTTTGTTGCCAAGAACTCAGACCACAACAGGTCAGAACAGTCTGGATGCTATGGATCCTATTTGAAATCTCTAACTTCATCTTGTGAATTGCATGTATGGCTTTGCATACCAGAGAGTGCCAATATTGCAGGGCACTTTGTAGCACCATTAAAAGGATCTCAAGACACTGGTTGTGACGCACTGTCCTAGACATTCCAACCCTATGGCTCCTTAATTCAGGAGACAGAAGACTTTCTGGATTCAAAAGCTATCCAAGTTTATAAGGCAAGCTTTGGATTTGTATGAAAGGAAGTTTTTGTTCCACCTAAAAGGGAAATGTAGCTTTATTACTAATACTACAAAATACAAAAAAGGAATTGTTCTCGAACTACTAAGTATTAATGTGCAGTTGCCCTTGGTTCTCAAGCTAGGGCTGGCAAAGCATGTATATGTATTCTACAAAGATAATTCTGTCAGGTATTCACCCATGAGATGCTTCCTGAAAGCTGCAGTTCCAGACAGTAAAGTTTTTAAAGCATTTCTCTGACCAAATTTCAGTACCCCTTGTGACAACTTCAAATATTTCTTTGCCACTTGTTCCTAAATATAAATTCAACCATAACTAAATCTGTTGGGAACATGAGAACTGAAACTTAGACAACAGAGAAAACTACCTAGAGGGATTAGGACAGTAGGGGACACAGTAAAATATAAAAGTCATGAATGTAGGCAAAGGTTATTTAACAGAACAGACAAAGGGGAGAACTTGTTACGACTCTATCACAATGTCTGGGCCCCCCACACAAAGCTAGTCACATTTCCTGAATCCTATTTTCATAATAAATTATCCATTATCACTACAGCAACTGCTAAAATTATGGAACACCCAACTCTTTCAGATCATGGTTTACTTGGTAATCCTGAAGTATTTCAGCCTGCCAGAAAACAGAACTTTCTGTTACTACTATAATCTTCAAAAAAAAAAAAAAAAAGTTAATCTCTTCTGAATTGCCCATCTTCAGAGGACCTGCATACCAAATATAATGCCCTTCCCCTCCACAACAGAAATAGACCCATTCATTCCACAAGTTGGCCTACAAACATGCAAGAAACTAGATCCCAATTCTAAATAATGGGTAAAGTTTAAACTGTCTCATATTTTTGGATTTCTCTGTGGTCTATGATAATGTTAGTAGTTTCTGCTGCTCTGCATTACATTACAGAATACCATTCTTCCTAAAAATATCTGTTCTCAGACCAACCAGAATTTGAAGGCAGGAATTTTCCTGGTTATCTGACAATCTGGGCTACAGCTAGGAGACTGAACCTCATTGTTTTCTGACTCTAAATTTATTTAAACAGCTTTCCTGGTACATGTCCCTCTACCTTCCTTAGAAAAGCACTCCTTGAAGCTGGCAAAACAACCAGTAGAATCACTTCACTCTGAACTCATGAATTACGTACACAATATCCCTCTGTAAAAAGAAGAATCTCAAGAAAGAAATCAGTATGATGGATGCTTGTTTTCTCTATACAACAGAAACACTCAGTAAATAGACTAGAACTGCAACCCACTTTCACAGTGAAATGTGGTAGATCTTACCTTCCTACAACACGGAGGGTCAATGTATAAGGCAATAAAAAGGGGGGAAGAAATCCTGTAAGACTCACACTTTTGGGATTGGTGAGATGCTTTGATAGTATGAAAAGGCTTAGACGGATTAGATAACTTTTGCACTGAATGCCTTGATAATTTAATTTAAAATTTAGCTCAGCAGGTCAGTTGCTTTGTATGGGGCATGGGAATATGTTTGGAACAGGAGAAATTGAAAATAAGATCTTTAGTTTTGAAATAGTCAGCTTATGTAGCTTATCATAGTAAATCTTTGTACCTCTGCAGCAAAGAATCTAATACCAGTGATATGAAAAATCATCATTAAGCATTAACAGTATTATTATTTGTAAGGAAGAACATGATTATCAGAGGCTATATGATTTTTCTAAATGGAGTGTCCGTTTAGAAGCCACAACATTCTCCCACAAGGAAGAAGTGGCATTTTACATGAACAGTGTGTAACAATACTAGCTAGTTGCAACTCAATGGTAGAGACATGGTAATTGATTTACTCAAGTGAGGAAACAAAGAACATTAAAAATGCAATTAGAGGCATGTGGTACCTAGAATCTGAAAGAGGAAGGATAAAGACCTCAAAGAATTCCAAGGGTCACATACCTGATAGGTAAAAAAGTACAGCTAAACAAATGAAAGTGTTTGTAAATCCTAAAGTAGAGAATTCAGAGTAGAGAGCATTGTTCCCCTTCCAATTGGTGAATAATTGACTGAGAACTGACTGGTTTTTTTAAACACATTTCTAAGCTGTCAGTTACCATGAAATGCAAGTCTCAGTTTAGTATCTAAGTGGTGAAAATCAAATCTTGGAGAAACATAAAAGTCTATGAAGTTGCAATGAAAAACATTAGCTAAAATGAAAGCTGAGGAATCACACAGGAGAACATAATTAAGGAAACCAACTAGAGTTCAGTTAAGAAAGAAGGCAAGGACAAACATAACTACAGAAGCTTTACAAGGATCTACACTTGAATACCTAACAAGTATCTGCTCAGGAAAAATACCCATAACTCCAGAAAAACGCAGGCAAATAGGAATAGTCAAGTAAAAATTGAAAGAGTTGTGATGAGAAGAAAAAGAGTTGCAAATACAATAAATAAATAAATAAATCAAATCAAATCAAATCAACAGCACAACAGGAAATGAGAAAATGTTTTTATAAACTGAAAACAGTGTTGAGGACACTATTCAACCCGCATGACAAAAGTTACTCATTCAAATGTACTCCATAATATTTCCAGCAAAAAAACTGTCTGAGACCTGTGAGTGAACAAGAGCTGCAATAAATGAAGCAGCTTGATGATGCAGATCAGTCACCTGGCAAAAGCAGATTTGTTTCTACTACTTATTTAATTATTTCAAATGTTACTGGCATGTTTATCCCAGCAGTATTATTTCATCTCCTAGCATGGTGCAACAACTCTTTTGCCAAAAGACTTTACAGAACTTGCCTCAGAGAAATTAGGGCTTACTAATCAATTTCAAGAGCAAGCGTGCTGCAAGAAAAATGTATGGAATTTCTTCCCGATTTCATTAGTGTAAACAAAAGAACTGCTTTTAATGAAGATCTTGTGGGTTCAATTAGATGAACACGTTCCAAACCAAATCTTGATCTTAACACGTCTCTCTGCCAGAATACAGATGAACGAACAACTAGTAGGCATTCTTTCCATCAGTCATGCCAAGACATTGCACTTAGTAGTAGGATATGGCTGCTCAAATGGCAGCTGTAGAAGTCTGAACTGTTCATAAACCAGAAAAAAAATGGTGTACTCACAGATGTGATGCTCGATGCAACACACACCAATATAAGTGTGAGAAACTGTTTCCTATTAATTTAATTAACACTAACAATATATCCAGTATGACTTTCTTTCCTGTTTATCCAACTATTTATGTCTCTGTTTGTAGTCAAGTATTCTTTTTATAAGAAGAGTACAATGCAAGTTTTTAAAATGTGTTAATATATAATGTTGAAAAAGATGCATTGAAAGGGCAAAAGAAAACCTGGCACCAAGAAGCCTTTTCTTTAAAAGATATGCGAACACTCGTTTTTAATCTGAAACACACTTGACAAAATATGAATTGTTCTATTATGTCTTTTTAATAAAAACCCAGCAGTTATTATGGATACTTTAAAAGGTATTATCCACATTAAAAAGTCAGTTACACAGCAAACCTTTTCACTCATATGAGGCATTGTGACCACCTGCTTCCCCTCTTCAAGAGTCCATGAATACCATAGTTAGTGGAGCAACCATTTTTATGGCTGTAGGACATACAGAATATGCTTCAGCTAAAATGAGAAGGTAAATACCACAAAAAAAAAATCAAAATATTTTTACTGGGGTACATTTTATATTGTTTTACTATTAAAAATTTACAAAGGAATAGAGACCCAAATTCTCTTTCATCAATTAGAAAAAGAATTCAACAACTTAGTCAAATTAGACTGCAACATACTATATTTCTTTATAAGAATGATGAACTATCACATTTGAAATAAAGTCAAATAAATTTACCTCTTTAAGGTCCTTCTATTTAAACTAAAATGCTCATCAGATGTCCAGTAAGGGAAAAAAACCTAACTATAGTCAGCATTCCTTAGCTTCCAATTCAGCTGTACGAGTAATAAAAGAATAGTGTAAAAAACAGATATCATGGATTTTGGTAACTCAAGTTACATTATGCACTAAATTTCAAAAAGCACTATTTCCATTATCAGTCTTCAATAAAACACACATTCAAAAAAATTACAATATTAATTTTTGCTACAACTAATATTATAATTGAGTCTTAATATTCTTGAGTTACTTTTACAAAGACGAGTGAAAATGTGAAATTAAGTGCATACTGTATACATGTGGTGTCAGGTGTTTGTACACTTGCTTAGGTTATCCTCTGTATCTTCATTCAAGTATGTTTTTTAACAGCAAAAACACGATATAAAGAAACAAAGAATTTATCTATAGAAGACAGAATTAGAAGACCAAATCTCCATGAAATGAAAGGGCCAAAAATACTATCAGCATAGGTGGGCACAACTAACTAAAAATTTAGGACATTATATTTTCTTATACCAGAACTGTATATGGTTTTGTGCTCAGAGTGTTAACAAATCTTTCAATTATCCTATATAATAAGTATCTTACTATCCTGTGACTGAATTTTTAGTTACTGTAACGAAGTGGAAGAGTCCACTTTTAACTTGAGACCAGGGAATATAAGAGAGACAAACTTAGTACTCAAGGAGCAGTACTGCTTTTTAAGACATTGCCAAAAAAGAAGGAAAAAAAAAAAAAAAAATCAGTTTACCATCAGCTGTGGGCCCATTTTTCAAATCTGATAATTTATTACTATTCCTTTCAAGTGCTAATTTATGGAATCCACCTAATTTTAAGAAATTAAATATGAAAACTAGATTCCATAGGAGAAATCTCAGTCCAATGGACTTCAACAGCTAAACTCTTCCCAAGATCACCGGGGCAAGAATTTCACTCCATGTAAAACATAATATACTTTGAGGCCCAAATTCTGTTAACTGATCTGCAGACACTGACTGCATTAAAGCTGGAATGAAAGCAGACTCAAGGCCCATTTAAGTAAATCAGACTAGATTACTGGGGTCTAACACTATAAATCTTTCAAAGCAGGGCATGGTATTTTATTTGTACATAAAAGGTGTCCATACGCCCATACGCACACCTAAAGCACGTATAAATAACGAAATACCAAAACTAGTAATCTAAAATCTTTTTCTATTACAGTGCACTATTTGCTGCGTTTTATTCTACATTAAGAAGAGAATAGTTTTGGCCAAAGTTTACTCATTTCTTGAAGGTTAAGAGCAGTTTTTGCCTACATGTTAAAAATGAAAGATGAGTTTAGTCCAGTCATCAAAAACTACTAACTTGTACTGCTTGCACATTAAAGACCCCATGAAAATCACTATTTATTTTTACTTGGAGTATATCAAGTTACTACATTTATGTTTATTTCCTAGCTATATATGAATATTATGGGTATATATTGATATTATCCTTTCTGAGAGTTATAAAACTGACTGGTTACATACTAATTGATGATGATAATTAAGGTTTGCTCAATTCCACCGTAAATTTCAATTCAACTTTACCTCAAGACATCTGAAAGCGAATGTCTCGGTCCTCAATTCAAAACGTGAATGTCAGTATCAAGTGTTTTCATGAAATGCATCAAAACTTGACCCTGACAGCTGCATAATAGTTGTTAGTACCATTTTCCTAAAGACAATTGTGTTATTAACTTACAGATTATTATATTTTGTGGACACTTTACAGTAACATAGCAAAGTTTCATTTTAAGACAGATTTACTGGTGCATTATTAAAACAGTAAGATGGAAACCAAAGGGTTAAACAAGGTATTAACTGCTTGATTCTTATTTCACTTAAAACTCAGTTTCATATTGTAGATTAAAATACAAAATACTAATTATCATTAAATAATAAGCTAATTCTAATTAAAACAAGGTACTAAAGTATTTACGTTATTATAAGCCATAGAGCTTATACTCAACATTTCTAGGTGAAAACTGCATCCATTTTGTCCATGCTGTAAGTTGCAAAAGTTTGTGAGATTTTCTGAATGTTTTTGCAGTACATAAACCTTTAAAGAAAAAAGTTAACAGTGCAAATATACAATATACTAATAAAAAAATACTGAATAGTTAAGAGTGTGTGAAATGTTTTTATTCCCCCAAATAATGGTATTTGCTCTGATGTTTAAATTTCTTCAGTATTATGTATAATGTATTTTAGATAAATATTTATTAGATACAACATAAAATTTTGGGGCATTTCACAGAATTGAAATTAATGTTTTACTAACTATACATTCAGCGCTTAATGTACTGGTATCAGTTAAAATGTTTACTATTAGACATATTCAAAATCTTGAGCGTTACTATAATTGAATATGTCTTATTGATGTTTTCTTTTAATAAAAAATCTAACTACTCTTTTTCAATTTTATTAGCATCTGTGTTTACTGTCCTATGTTAGATACAAAACAACCAACCAAACAAAAAACCACACTTACTCTATTTGTGCTCCATTAGCCACAAGGGCACTTACGGAATCCATACTACCAGACCGTGCTGCTTTATGAATAGGAGTTTCACCAACATAATCCTGTAAAAGTACATTATATTTTGTCAAGTACCACCACTTCAAAAATTGAAGTTCCTAAACATTCCTGACTTTAATTAAGAAAATGGACACAGTAATAATCAATTAATGAATGCAACCGCTCCTTTATTAGCATTTTAAAGACTCTGCTGGCTCTCAACTAGATTGAATGTTTCATTTAAAAAAAAATCCTTGGTCTGCCCCTTCCCCCCATACAATGGTCTAATAAAATGCATCCCTTGTAATAATCCTTGCCTCCTGGCATTTTTCCTGGACCATCATAGCTACAACATCACTCCAACATTCTTCTCTTTCACGCAATTCCCATCTCTGCAAAGAGCCTTTAAAGGAGGAATGGACAGTCTAGAGTAGGCATGTAAACTTCATTTACTGGTAATACAGCTGTGAACCAGGGGCATAGCTTCCATTCAGAATAGATCTTTTGTTGGCATTAGGTGACATGCACAAAAACTGAAGGGAGGATAAGGCCATAAAACTGAATTTCTGTTCTATACTGTCATATTCATTATGACAGTAACATCAATTGTCTGGATTCAATTTCAATTGGTTCACTCAAGGCAGAGAGTGGTGGGCAAACCACATGACCTGGGGAGAACTGGGATATGCACCATGGAGGTGATGCAACCTCCCATTTTCACTTGTTTGTAGTTGTGGTGGGGAGGGGGGGAACAGGAGTGGAGAACTAGGAACCTGTTTCACCTGAATCTTCAGGTGGCAGCCTTATTGTGTCGTCTTACTGTAAACCACCCTGAGCTTGTTGGGAAGTGGCACCTAGATCAAGAGAATACGATTCTTTTTTCCTTCCAGCATTTCTGAATCTCTTGTACCTCTCTCTCTCCATTTCCCACTTCAGCAATTGCCACTTCCTAACCTATGTGCTTTTCTTCTAACCTCACCTCCATCTGTGAAAAGGATCTTTAAGTTTTTAAGTGGCAAGTGTCACTGCTTCAGAACTGAGCTCCAATCCGATTAAAAGGAAAACAGGGAGTTCATATCTATGTTACTGTTTCAGGTACCTACAGACAAAGGCGGATTTTATTACAGTGGTTGCACTCTTCATATCTGGAAGATTCTCTCTGTAGTCATGATGCCTAGAAACTTTTTCTTTTACATGTTCTTGGTATATGGGCAATTTAAGAGTTATCCTGAAAGGAAAAAAAATGCCCTAGATTTTGTCCTTCAGATTTTTCAGGACAAGTTTTCAGATCTGGCCTAGGCCTATGGGTAAGTGTCCTCTCAGCAAGTTGCATCAAATAGTCAAGTTGCCAAAAAAACAAAGACAAGCATACAATATTGGTCATAGTTTCAGTTTAAGATTTTAACTTACTGCTTTGGATCATTTTCACATAAACTATTAAAATAAATCCTAATTTTGCTGATTGATGCAACAGACCTGTTTTTCCAAATTCTTCCATTGGATACATTGCAATTGTCCCACATGCTACAGGAAAAGAGATGAGACACTAAGAAGGTAGCTTAAGAAGGTTGCAGCTTTATTAAAAAGCACACTCGAGTTATCTAGCAATCATCCATGCATTCCAGGTTATTCTTTCTATGGTCATCCATTTCACCTACTGGAGGACTGCCAGTAGCTGGGCATCCTATTTAGCTGGTCCCAGCAGCACTGCTGAAAGCCTTCTTCCTCTCATCTAATGATTAGCAAGTCAAGAAAGAAGGGTTCATGTTCTCACTACACTGGTAGACATTTGGAGCCCCCAACCCCATTCCCCACTTCCTTAGGAATTGCCTTCTAACCTAAACCCACATCCAGTACTTGTTTGCACACCACATAAGCCTTTTTCCCCAAAACACAGCCCCCAAAATTGGGGTATATGTCTTAAGCAGAGAAGGTGATTTTCCACCAAGAACAGATTCACCATACACTGAATCCTGCTCCACAAGTGCAGTAGGAGCGGTATCATTATTAATCAAACAGCTGATGTTTCACTAATCAAGCTAACTGTTCTTCTGGCAGTTTGGGTGTGCACCAGCTACTCCTGGGTCTCTCTTTCCCTCTTTTGCACTGTTCAAACTCTTTGCAAAATCACAGATTCACCCATGGAGATCAGTCTTCAGCAGCAGCTAGGGTTTCACCTTTTAGTTAAGCATGAGATAAAGGGTGAGCGGGCAGAACATTAAGTTCTATTTCTATACAGCCATAATTATGGGAAAAAAACCCTTTCATTCTGCCCTCCCAAATATAAGGTGCTTGGTCTTATCTGGGGTTGTGATGAGCCATATTCCCCTCTCACACAACAGATTATGATAGCACTGAATTCTAAAACATGACCTATGCCACATGGTCCCTGCTTTTGGGAGAGATGGAAACAAACATAGGGGAAAGTTCCCCACACTGCCTGGTCCCACTCCCTAAAAGGGTTGACTGGCATGAAGTTTACAGAAAGACCTGCTCTGACAGTAATATCAAGATAGACAACAATGGTGAAGGGAATTTTTCTTCCCAGCATGAGTAAGCCCCAGGCCAGAGGAAGAACTTATAAACCACAGGCAGACAATTATTTCTGCTGGAGGGCCAGTTAATGAGTTCTGGTGAGCCGTCGAGAGCTGCAAAGGGCAGACCCAGGCTATGACAGGTGTCCCGCCCCCTGGTCACCATCTTGGGGCCAGAAGTCCCTCTCCTAACCCCTGACCTTTGCCAGTGGAAGTCCGCCTTTTGGGAGGAAAGGGTTGCCATCTTGGAAACGGGAAAAAAAAACAATAAAACACCTACTGACTAAAAGTCAAAAACCTATTATAACATCTTTTAATTTTATTATGAAAAATATTGTGTCGTAATTTTTGTTTGCATAGTGTATATATTAGTGATTACATATTAACTGAAAAATAAAGTCTTCCCCTTAAATATTATGGAAAGTGTGCGTGTGCAGGGGAGGGGAGTTTGTGAGGGGATGTGGCTGTACACGTTGGGGGACAATAGGGTACGTGGTGACTTGCGGGGGAGGCTGTGGTTGTGGCATTTGAAAGGTGTGAGGGAGGGTAGGGGAGCCCTCCCCCGCCCACACACACACACATTTTGCCCCCCATGGTGCAGAGGCCTCACTGTAGCAGCTCTGGCCAGTGCTGCACGTGGCAGTACTGAGCGCAGTCAGGCTGGCCCACCTCCATGGCACAGAGCTCTGCACAGTGCACATGCAGCTCCCAGCACTCGTGCGCCACTGGAGGAAGCCCCATGCAATGAAGCTGGCTGTCTTCGCCACTCCCTGTCATGCAGGTCTCAGCAATCTGCTGAAAGTGGGACGGGGGGAGCCCCACCCCTTGCTTCCCAGCAAAGTCCTGGGCAGGGCCACTGCTGCCACCACTGGGAGAGCTGCTGGGATTCCCTGTGTCCCACTCACTCCAGGTACCAGGTAGGGAAGTGACAGGGGTGGAACTGCAGCTGGGCAGAAGCGCAGAACATGGGGCAAGAGCTGACAGCAGCTGCTGCACTTTTTGCCACCACATGGCAGCACTGGTCTGAGCCACATGCCACTACACCCTGCTCACCCAAGCTCTGCACTCCCACACTCCTGCCCCCACCGGGCACAGGTTCCATGCTGCTGCCAGTCCCAGCCCTATGCTCTGCACTCCTGCCCAGTTGCAGCTCCGTCCTCACTGCTTCCATACCTGGTGCCTGGAGCAAGTGGGATGCCAGAGAAGCCAAGCAGGTCCCCTGCCAGCTGCAGCAGTAGCAGCAGCAGCTCCACTTGGACGCTACGTGCTGGCTTTTGCCCATGTAGGTGCGAGCAAGGTGCATGGGCTGGGTGGGCTACAATTAATTAGTGGGCACCCACAGGCCAGATGAAATTGCCTCGTAAGCCAGATCTGGCCTGTGGGCCGTATTTTGCCTGCCTCTGTTATAAGCCCTCCCACCTATAAGTGCTCACAAATCACAAGGCTATAGTAAATCCAGTTGTCTCGTAACACAGGCCAGAAACCCCTGAACATGAATGGGGCTAAATGCCCCCCCCCAAAAGAGAGGGATATTCCTTAAAAAGGAGCTATTAGTCCTTTTTCACCTACTGACCTAGGACAGTCAATACAATAACGCCCTCCTGTGCAACCTCTGAGGCTGTGGAGGGAGCAACACTACTCTCCAAGTAAAGATTTAGTGGATTAGCCACAAAAATAACTTTGTGTTTGTTTACAGCACCTGTAATAAGTGTTCTGTGCTTAATGTGTCAAAATTCTAATCACATCTACTTCTAAAATCCCCAGGATGCCAAATTATTTACAGTAAAGTTTTAGGTGAAAACCAGTTCTTTGTTGAGCATGAGGAAAATAGGCATGTTGGCAGTTATGCAAGGCTAGAAAACAAAAATAATTCTCACTGAAAAAGCAATGATCCCATCCCTGAACTTACAAGGCTGAATTTCAAAAGTCAATTCATTCTGAAGCACTTCCACAAAGAAGTGTGAAAGGGTTGGGAAGGACTGTGGGGGAAGGAAGGAAGTAGGTTTTTTCTTCCTGATAGGCGCAATGGGGATAGATGAGCGCACAGTTCAACAAGAGTAGACCTTTTTAAATTAATGTTACAAAATAAAGACAGAATAGTACTTATGTTAGAAACTTTTCTCTAATTTCCAGTCTAAATTTATGGTTAGTTTCTATATCCATTTGTTCTTGCGCCAAAGGGTCCATCAGTTTATAAATAGCCTTGATATTTGCTGTCTATAAATAGATGTGAGATGGAGATGGGAGTAATCATATCCTCTGAGCCTGTTTTGCAAGGCTCTAGACAAGCTTGTCTTCTCCTTATAAAACTCTCAATTTCCCCCATTATCTTAGGCCAGGGGTGCTCAATCTCTGTTAAATCCATGCTGATGTGCCCATGGGCTCAGAACTTTCATGTAGCTCTGGAGCCCACACGATGCATGCCACCACTGTCACTCAGTCCCTTTTTCCTGCTGCTGAATTCAATGGGGAAGAGGGAGGCAAACAGTAGGGATTCTCAGCTGCTGAGCTCTAGAGCCCCATGAAAACTTTGGCAGCTGGAAAAGCAGTGGAGACCCACCCTTGGTGGTTCCACGCACGCATGCCCACAGGGCTCTGGCATAGCACAAGGCTGGCTACAGCATCTGAAAATACAAATTTCAAGTTTTGAAGAAAGCCTCACTGCTCTGGGGCACCGCATAGCCCTATGTCCACCATTTGGCCATGACTCTCCACTTCAGGAAAACAGTGGTAGGGCACAAGGAAGAGCAAGTAGCTTATGGTACAGTGCTGCCAGCTGAGCAATCTCCATCTGTGATCTGAAAGAATTATTTTATTGTCGTGTCTTATGGCTGGTTTTATTTTTTGTAATGATTTTTTAATTATTTTTATAAAGTTTAAATTAATACTACAGAATACTGAACTTTTTAAATTTATATCAATAAACCTAAAATTACTAAAAAATGTATGCTTTCCTTTCTAATATTATGTAAAATACTCAATATTAGGATATGCAAAAATACAAAAAATATAATACTTCCCTATGCAGCCTGTGGCCCATTTTCAATTTTAATATTTGGCCCACTTTTGTTAAAAAAAGTTGAGCATCACTATCTTAGGCCTTGGACAGATGTACTTTTTAAGTGTGTCAGGCCACAGAGAGGCATTCAGCTCACTGAAAGTGCAAGCTCTCCCAAATACTTGCTGTTTTATTCAGGGTTATTTTTGGAGCACTTAAGACATTTTGGGACCACTTCACAGGGCATATATGCCTGAAGCATTTGAAGTGCTTCAACTGTTACATCACTCCAAAGCATTGGTAGCCCTTCCCTGCACCTGTTCCAGTTTGAATTTCTCCCCCTTGAATATAAATGACTAGAACCATATGTAATTTTCCAGTCTCACAGTGGCACTAGTACTTCCCCACTCCTACTGAAAAATGTGTCACCCAATACATCCTATGATTACAACTGCCTTTTACATAGTGTGTTAACACTGAATGGTTCATAAGCTACCAAGTCCTTCTCCATATAAATGGCTTCCAACTGGGAAATTCCCAGCTTAGAGTAGAAATTAAGAGTAGGAACTGTTGTTACTTCAGTCCTTAAGGTTATCTAGTTCTTCTTGTAAAATACTCCAATACTTTTGCATTTAATTTTTCCTTAGCTTACGTCATCACTACATTGCCACTTTTTGGTCAGTCACTAACAAAAGTATTAAACAAGATTAGTCCCAATATCAATCCTTGAAGAACTACTACTAATTTCATCCCAGACTTTTAATTCAGTGCAGCCCTCCCCCCCTTTAGCCACTTCCTTACTCACCTGACAGTTTTATCAACTTTACTTCTTCAACTTGACTAACAATTTTCCTTGTGGCAGCACTTCCAATACTTTACTGAATTCCAGATGCACCAGATCTTTTCCATCTCCTTTGTTTATAGGAGAATTTATCGTATAAAGGCATCAGGTTACTCTGGCATGACCTAGCTCTGGTAAACCCACATTATTTTTCACATCCCCCCTACCCCCCCATTTACCACCTCATCTTTATTTTTTCCTTGCAAACTGCTCTGAAGCCTTTTATGCTATTGAGGTGGAAGCTGCCTAAATCACCTCTCCCTTTAAGTAGATACTACTATTGTTATTCTCTAATCACATGGTCCCAACCCCTATCTTCATAGCTTTGTTAAAAATACATGCCACAGGAAGTGCAACGTGACTCCAAAACTGAAGTGTGTTAAGCTAAATTTTGCTTCCGCTTCTGTGGAGGGAAAGTCTATTTCCATATCCCACCCCCCTTATTCTGCCATTGCCCTGTTGGTCAACGTCATCATCCTTACTGAAAATTAGGACAAATTTTCTTAGGTTCTTGAGCCTTTCCTATTCTTAAATTAATTACCTTCACTGCACAGGAATGCCACTTCTTTTTTTGCTATACTTCTATTTTTGCTATCTATGTTAATAGTCTGAGATCTAACTAAGCTTGCCTTTGACATCCTTTCGTCTGCAAGACTCTAGATGTTGAAGCCTATGACACAGATGGTTTGCACTATCTTATGTGACTAATCTGAGATTTGCATGATCTGTGGCAGTGGTTGCAAGTGTTTGCGTCATGGTTAGGCGGTTTGGGAGCTGCTTGCTTCCTATGGACTCTTCTCTTCAAGCTGCTGGAGCCAATTCCAGTTGTGAACTTTGATGCTCTGCAGGAGACAATGACAACACTTGTTCTGATCTCTTACCAAGGTTATCCATTAGTCAATTCCAAATGCCTTCATATCCTGCTTGCTTGCTGTAG